CAAAACCATTTCAACTGTACTCACATCCAGGTGTCATGTAATAGAAGTTTAGGCATCTCTTAAAATAATTAAAAGATGGTCCAAGGTCACCGAATTCCTAAGTACAGGATACAAATCATAGCATACTGCTCTCTGCAGAGGACTACTGCCCTTCACAGGCACAGGGCAAAATGTGACACTAATAAAAACCTGGCAGAAAAACTAAGGATGGCACCAGAAATAAAGAAATACTTGCAGTGAATCTAAGCTCTTACACTTCTGGGTTCCAGGGATGAGGGGCATCAGCATCCACAACATGGATCGGTCTTCACATCCCAAGTGTCAAGTAGTTAGTTAGGTCTGAAGGCTTACAGGCCCATGATGATCTACAAGGTCCAGAGCTACATCCTGGGAAATGGAAAGAGACTGGTATTTCTTCTGCCAGACCCACTGAAATTGTTAGCCAAGGGCTCCTCATATTTGCATTAATTCTGCCATCCCAGGGAACAGAAAGACCTTGTAAAAACAGGAGATTTGAGCTGAAAGCTCAGAGGGACTTGGAAATCATTCCTGCAGTTCAAGTTAACTCCCTGTCCAGGAGAACCAGCAGGATGTTTGCAATATCATTTAGGAAAAGAACTAAAAGTCTGCTAATGTGAAAATTAGAAAACTTCCTTGGGTGCTGCCATTAGTTCTAGGATTGCTACTGAATTTCTAGATGATTTATTAAAATAATGACCTTACATTTCTGGGTGGGATGGGGGTTTTTTAAGTTCACAGTTACAAATATCCTAATCCTTGCTCATACCAAAAGTAAGAATATGTGTTCAGGTGCTTTATTCAAAACAATCAATCAATCAAGGTCATCAGATTCAAAACACACTGACAGGTCTAAAACGCACAATCCAAAGATTTTCAGAAAAAAAAAAATCCCATTTCTAACCCTTCAGCTTTACCCAAAAAGATGATGCCATGTACAAAGCAAGAATAGAATAAGGAAAGATACTTAGGTAAAAATATCAGATGTTAAGTTTCACGTCCACACATGAAAAAAGGTTACAGAAGGGCAATCTTTCCCAGGAGGCAAGTTT